AGCACGCCCGGACTCGTCTCGTTTCCCATTTCTTATCAACTCGCCGTGCTCGCAGAAGTCTGGCCGTGTGAGAAAACCCGCCCACAGAGTTCTCAATGGTGGGGAAAGTTTGTGAGCACCTCCGGGAAAAAAGATGACACGATGTCACATCTCATGGTGCTGTTTCATGAAGCAGTTTTTCACTGTAATTTTGTCAGTTGATTCCGGCATTGTGGGCAGTGCAGAGTGTCGGTGTGAGCATAATAGCCGCCGCCCCAAGCAGGCTGGGTTGTCACCTGCCAGGAAAATGGTTTCAGGACGGGAGGAGACTGCATGGGGTGGGTGGGAGGGCAGGTACCCCAGCCGGCCCTGGCGCCTCCCCTGATCTCCCGGGGGTCACGGACAGTGGGGGCCGAGGGCACTGCAGCAGAAGGGACTCGCCTTGGGTGTTGTCTCCGCCTCCGGGCGGCCGAGGCTGGCCCCCTCACCCTGCCGTCCTGGGCCCTGGAGTTGTTCTTCTCAGCATGACCCACTGCCCTGCGGCCCACAGTGCGGGCCTTCCAAGCTGCCCTCCCCTGTCCTTCTCTGCGGGCCTCCCTGCTCCAGGAACCAGACAGGGTGTATTCGCGCCTCTTCCTCCCGGCTAGAGGAGGCTTGAATCTGGCTCCAGATGCGACCTGCTGGGAGATGCTGGGACCCGGCCTCTCTGGAGTCCACCGTCTCACCTGTGGCCAGGTGGAAGGATTTCCCTTCTTCCCTTCTATGGTTTTTGGCCAATAAATTGAAAGAAGACAGATTAACAGGAGAAAGGAATTAAATGTCCACCATATAGCAGCCCCAGAGGTAGGATTCTCCAGGCAAGCTGCCACCTGCTTGAGCCATGGCATCGGGACTGGGGGGCTTCAAAGGGGCGGCGGGGAATTCCCAGGCTGGAACAGCAGTGACTAGCAGTCGCATGTCTGCCCACCAGGCAGCACCGCCCTCTGCAGCACTTCTTCCTGGGCCAGGCCCTGAGGGCTCTTGGGTGCTTACTGGAGAGGCTGAAGGTCTTCCTGGGTGTGTCGTGTCTGTTGCCTTTGGCTCAAGAAATCTGCGTGACAAAGTAACACGTTGTGGAGTGACTTTCTGCTCCCCTTCTCTTAACACAGGAAGGCACTAGCTGCCCTCCCGGATCCAGGCTGGACGTGCGCACACAGGAAGCTCCCCCGAGAGTGTCGGCGTCAGCGCGCTCTCTCCCGGCCCCAGGCCTCGCCGCAGTTCCTCTTTCAAAATCTCCTCTGATTTTTCATTCTCGTCCAGTCGGCACCTAATAATAATTTTCAGGTTTCTCCTCCAAAGAATCTTAGCAGGGATGTGTTAAAAAAAAAAAAAAAAAAAAAAAAAGTGGAGGCCCACAGGTGGACCTTCTGACGAGGGAGAGGCTGAGAGGCCTTCTGTGCGCCATGTGGCTGGGCCGGGAGGGGCTGGGGGGAGGGGCAGCCTTCTGGGGTGATCCCCTGCTCCGAAGCAGGTGAGAAAAATTCCAAGTTGGAGGCCCCTAGATCTGGGGAGGCTGGGTCTGATCTTCCCGATGAAACGAAGGCGGAGAAGCAGGATTCTGAGCAAAGCAGAACCGAGAGTCAGGAGGGAGAAGTCAGAAGAGGAAGCAGCAGACCGCACCCTCACGCGATGGCAGGTCTCCAGGGTGAGGGCAGAGACCTGCACCGCCCTGGGAACTTGGCTGGCTGGCACGTGGCGGCCACGGAACCCGCGTCTCCTCTTGGTGACCAAGGAGAACACGCGTCTCCTCTTGGTGACCAAGGGCACCTGGGGTCCAGAACCCTAAGGCGGAAGGTCTCAGCCAGCGCCCAGCCTGCACCCCATTGTGCCAGTAAGCCCAGGCCTGGGGGAGGGAGAGCTGGTGCCAGGGGCGCTTCAGCCACTTAAAAAGAGTCTCAGGGAGCACTGGTTCTTCACCTCGACCCACTCTGGAACCAGACCAGCCTCAAACACATAGAAACAAAGATGTGTTGAGCCAGCAACGCTAGGTCACAGGACGCGCAGGGGAGGCGCTGAAGGGCACGGCAGGAGGCGGGACAGGAGGCAGCTGACCCTGGAAGGCCCGGGGTTGTGGCTGCTGCTTCCCTTTGCTGGGCTTTGCTTGACTGCAGGCTGAGTATGTCTGCAAAACAAACCTCACGGAGAGAAGTGCACGGGTGGAGAATTCCTGGACTCTGTCTGTTGGAAACAGAAACAGCAGCCCAAACGGGGATCCTTCTGCTGGGCCCCTACCCAGATGTGACTTTTGCGGCAGTCTCAGCCTCTCCCAGGGTGCCCGCCTGCACCAGCCCATCTGGAGTCTCCTGCCAGCCTGTGAGGCGAGACCCCAGCCTGCCCTAAGGAAGGAGACTCTAGGGGAAATCACCTTTTCTTTTAATTAATTTATTCATTTATACAAGCACTGGGCACAGTCAGAAGCACGGGAGGGTGAGAGGATTCACCAGAGCCAGAGCGGGGAGCAGAGCAGGCAGAAGGACCGAAGGACACTGCTGAGGGGAGCAGCGGGCGGCAGGAGAGGTCTGCGCGCCATGCGGGACTCTCGCTGGTGGCCGGGGATCGAACAGGCCCTGCAGAGGCTGAGGGCAGCTTTGCAGCCCAGCGCTCAACCGCTGCGCCACCAGGGGAGGCCGGGAAATCACCTTTTCTTTGGCTGGTAACCTTGGCCACCCTCTTCCCGTAAGCCTGTACAACTAGCTCCCCGGCCCCTGGCCCCGTGCTCCCCACCCCCCCTTGCAGACAGGGCCCTTTTCCTTCTGGAAGCTCTAGCTCCTTGTGTTTTCCAGCTTCTGGAAGCTTCCTGCATTCCTTGACTGTGATCACAACCTCAATCTTTAAGACCAACAGTGCTGCATTTACCTGACCCTCTAGCATCGCACTGTTTCTACAGTTTTAAAGACCGTCGTTGAATCCACGTGGAAATGCGGAATCGTCTCTCCATGGCGAGGCCTGTGTCCTTCACCCCGTCTGCACGGCCCACTTTGCCGCATGAGGTAAAGCGCCCAGGACAGGACGTGAGGGCCAGTGTTCTGCCCACACAGTCTTTTTATTCTCAGCGATCTCCGCAACAGT